GGTCTACTGGAAGCCATGGAATATGAAGAAAGTTATGACTTAATTGGGATCTAATAGATTTGTTAGTCTCTAAGGTGCCACAAGTACTCCTGTTCTTTTTTGTTACCCAAATTACTACTAATACCTTAAGCACTGATCCTGGGGCCACCTTACTGTGCACCATACCTCTCAAATGCTCCTCATTTTAAGGAACACTACTCATTTTATTCTCCAAGTTCCACACAAATTAGGGTTCTCCTCTCTTTTACTGGTGAAAGTTGTTTATATAGGACATCTTGTATCTCAGATTAAACCAAGTTGTGTCCAGTGCAGGGAAAGCCAACCCTTTGAGTTTCCTGCAGGGATAATTGTTGGTATTCATTCAATCTTGACATACTGTATCCCACATTTGGGCCTTAGAAGTTGGAGGGAGGTGATGCATGTGAACTAGTATGAGCAGACAGCAAGTGTGAAAAATCGGGACAGGGAGTGGGAGGTAATAGGAGCCTATATAAGAAAAAGACCCCAAAATCGGGTCTGTCCCTGTCCCCCACCCCATCTAGTCACCCTAATCATGTGAACAACTTTAGGGAGGAAAGCTGGTGTCACAGTTTCAGGTTAATTGCGCCTTTAACTCCCTGCTGGGGTTTTCTCAAGGGCTGCCCTCGCTGGCCTTGAGCCTGCTCCGCTCCCGGGGCAGGGAGTTCAGCCTGCAGCTGCACGGGGCTCATCCCCACGCAGGTGAGGCTGCGCGACCCAGTGCGCTGCTCGGTCTCTAAGGACGCGCTCTCGCTGGCCGTGTTGTTGGCTAGGGCCCACCCCGCGCTCCCAAAGCGGCCGGGTTGGTTTAAGGGCAGAGGCGGCACCCACGGAAAGTAACGGCAGGGAAACGCCTCGGCACTAGCCCCGCGACAGGCCCCCTGCAGGACGCGGACCCATTCCGCTCCAGGGCGCCCCGTGCGCAGCGGCGCCGGGCGCGTCCCCGCGGCGGCAGGGGCGGGGCCGGGCGGTTGGTGCGGTTTCCTCTCTCCCCTATAGGTGTTGGCGGCGGCGGTGACGCGCTCGCGCTCGTGGCCGCGCGTACCCCCCTCCCGGCTGTGCTGGTGGCGGCGGCGGCGGCTCGGCCATGGCGGACCTGAGCGCGGAGCGGCTGTGCTCGCTGCCCGGCAACTGGAGCTACGGGATCAGCCAGGGCGGTCGCCTCTTCTTCATCAAGTGAGTGCGGGGCCGGGCGGGGCGCGGGGCGTTGGCGGGGCTGGCGCTGACTGACCCGGTGTCTGTGTCCCCCCCGCAGCGAGGAGGCGAAGAGCACGACCTGGCTGCACCCGCACACCGGAGAGGCCGTGATCACCGGGCACCGCCGCAGCGCAGGTAACGGCCCCGCCCGCCCCCCGCCGGGCCAGCGACCGCCTGGGGAGCCGCCGCTGCCTGCGAGGGGAGCCCCCCAGCGCCCTTCCCTCCTGAGCCTTCGCCTCCCCCCTGCCCCAGCCATTTCCTCACCCCGACCCCACCCCACCCTTCTCTTCACCCCACACCCGCCGCTGGCACCACCCCCTGGAGCTGCCTCACCCCTGCTCTGTTCCCCCAGAGCCTCTTGTTCACCCCACCCCCAATTCCCACCCCCACCACAACCGCTGCCTCCTTCCCCGTCCCTCACAGCTGCATCCTCGCCCCCCAGACCCACCTTACCCTCCCGCCCCCCCAGCAGCGCTGCTTCCTCGTCCCTCCTTTGGAGACCTTGGCACCTAAAGAGAATTACGATAGGTGTATTAGAAATGCCTAGGGAGAGCCCACTAACTATAGTCATCTAGAAACTCCCCCCCCCCCGCCTTTTTCCAATCTAGGCTGAGAGCGTGTGCGTGTTTCTAAGTGACAGAGAGTGGCATAGGTAGGAGGAAAAGGGGCTGAAGCATGAGGAGTAATTTGGGGGTGGAATCAGTCTCCTCTGTGGCTGCTGTTTGCTCCTCTCGGGAGAAACAGCAGCAGAAGGAGGTGCTGGAGGAGGAGGAGGAGGAGGATTTTCAGCAGACGCTTTTGGAGACCCAGAGCCAAACTCTCTCTCTGCTGGAACTGTACGCAGGCTGCAAATGCCATTGGGAGGCTGTGTGTGTTTATAAATGCAGTTGTTTTCGTTCGTGTAAGCTATGGGGGAGAGAAGAGGAGAATCTGTAACTGAGCAAGTTATTGGAGTATTCCTCTTTCATGTTTGCATTCAAGAGGTTCTTTATTTTAAAATATCACCCAGGATTATTGAAAAACATTGACTATGCTCCCTCCCTTTCTTCTTTTCCTGTGAGTTGGGACCAGTTGGGGGAGTGGGTTTCTTATTTTAAATCTCCCTACACTTTTATCTGCAGTGAATAGTTGTGAGTTATAACCATGAGCCTTTGAAATGCAGGAAGTAGAACCATTGGTTTCATGCTCTTCCCCTGTGTAATTAGCATTCATATTAACTGAGAAATTATCTTAAATCCACTATGAAGGGGTAAAGAGGCATATGTACATGAGGTACATTTGCTGTTGGACATTGCTACTAGTCACATATGAATTCCTTGTTAAATAACTGTTAATGGCTCTATTGAATCATTGATGTTTTATCCTAATCACTTAAATGCTTGATTTTTATTTCTACCTTCTTGTTTGCCATTATCCTCTTTTAGAGGAAACAGTTTTGTTATGCAGTGTTCAGGTATTGATCTAACAGGAGAGTTATTGGCAGGTAAACTTAAATTTTCTTTTAACATTAGTGTAAAGTATTTTCTGTGTCATATCATGTACATATGAAAGCAGATGCAGTATCATGTACAACACAAACCTGTATCTGTATTTTCCGTTTTAATATGCACGTGTTCATTCATTTCCCGTATGTAGACAGAATTTTGTAACTTATTTTGGCTGATTTTGGTTTTGTAACCTAAATTGAAGTCTCTGTCTTAAGGAGGGATTGTGACCAAATAACCGATGTACATGTACTTTTGCAAACAAATAACGTCATTCAAATATTTCACACTGTTAGCAGGGGATTGTCTTCTTTAAGAGTTGAGGTAGTATCTACTTTGTGAGAGCACCAGTTATGAGAGACTTGTTCTTTCTGCATGTGATGGCCATTCCGATTTACACTGGAGAGGCATCCTGTTGGTCCATACTTTCCCCTAGTCTTTTATCAAAAGACTCTAGATTTCCTCTCTCTCCTCCCACTCCCTCCCTCCCCTCCCCCTTGGAGACTGCAATATATCATGGAGTGAAAAAGCAGACTAGAGGGATAAAGAAAACAGACACATTAGACTGGATAGTTTTGTCTTAGCTTTGAAAATGAATTGTTTAAAAAACCCAAAGCATCTTTAAATAGCCTTTATTCCCTTAAGTCCACACAAAATCCCCACCTTTTACAGGCTCGGGGGCAGATATTAAAAGACATTTAAGCACCTAACATGTAGGTAGTGGGACTTTCAGGTATCTAATACCTTTAAAAATCTGTCCCTCAAGTTATTCTATCAAGATTTTACTTCTCTAGATGGGGCTTCTGCCTTGTTGACTCTTTTGCTTAGGAAACTGATACTCAACAGAGGGAAAAAACAAGTCACCTCTTTTCCCCCCTAGATGTGAGGTAAATGTATTTTCATGCAGTGTTGAACAGAGCTGTAAACGCTGCAAGAAAGTTGATGTGTGTATCTTAGAGACAGTATTTAGTGATGTACCTATGCTAATATAAAATATCTTCTGTGGTGTATTTTAAGAGGATATCATGCTTGTTAGGGTGCATGTGACTTGTGCGCACTGCAGAACTTTGTAAATTGATTTGCTTAAATTTTTACCTTATCAAGTAATTTGGAACTACTACTTTTTAAGATTAGGCCTGCAACAATTCTAATTATTGTTTAAAGAGAAGGAACACTTCTGGGTTTACATCTGTCCTTACCTGAATTACTACTTCTGAAAATGCTAATTTCACCATTTATATTGCTTGCACACTACAGGGAATGGTTTAAGCCCAGATAATTTTTTTGTTGACTCTTTATATAATCTTTAACAGTTTGAATTTTGTTTCTCTATGTAGACAAAGGTACATATTGGCCAGGTATGCACATTGCTGTAACTCTGTACTACTAGTCTAGCCTATAAAACTTATGATGTATCACTTCTTGTTTTCTAGACTTACCCACAGGTTGGGAAGAAGCATATACTTTTGAAGGTGCAAGATACTACGTAAAGTGAGTTGAATGATAGTTTGTCAAGATATTAAAATTTGAAATTTCCTAAGTGTGGCTGTATATTATTCGTAGTGAGTACATTTTAAATCAGGATTAAATACAATGCTATGAATAATCACTTTAAAAGGAGTGTGCACTGTACTATAGCAGAGATCAATTTTATTTAGTTTATTCAACATTGTGACAGTAATGATTTCTTGAACTTAGTGTCTAGATATTTTTTTTGAGCATTTCAGGTGCAGATGGAAACCATCATATGTTATGATAGCAAGAAATGGCTGGGCAATTCAAGATATAGCCTGAATGTTTGTACATATGTGCTTATGTGATGTGTGTATCTAAAAAGTTTTCAGAAGGACAGTTTTTTAAATTTTCTCTCTTGTTGGGACAGGATTCCTGGCTACCAAACATCCTATTTATAGTAATTACATTTCTAAACTACTAAACTGTCAGTTTTGTTTTTAATCTGATTTTTTTTCTTACCTTTTTCCAGAAATTCTGCAAAAGAAAAAACTGTCTGCATTTACCATTGTGTGCTTAAATGTGTCCTATTGTAACTTTAGCACAGTTCTCAGTTAAAGTAGTTTTTCAAATATCTGTCTTTTGATTAATGAGATGAGGTTTTTTTGTGACTTAACCAGATTTTTATAGTAGAAAAGAATAAATTGATCCTTAAGCTGTTTTCGGAATTCTTTAGTATATTCATATTTGGGTAGAAGAAACCATGTCTCTTCCCCCCCCACCCACTTTTTTTTTTTAAAGTCCAAAGTAGGTGTTAGATCTGTGCAAACTTCTTAAAACCTTTTCAGTGTGAGGTGAACAGAATATTTTACATTGCACCCCCCTCACAACAAAACAAAAAACCACAACAACCTAAAATATAGAGGAGTGTTTCCTCCTCTTCTGTTCAAGCTTAGGCATGCCAACAAATTGTAAACATCTTCAGACTTATGAAAGCACTTCTTAGTATGCTGTGGTCTCATATACGTTCCTTACTTGCATTAGTAATGTATACATGGGACAACTCTTATGAGTAAGCACCACTAATGTAAGAATGGTAGGCTACTGCCCATTTTTCTACTATTCTTTGCAGTTTTCTGCCATGAATGTTGTGGAAGGTGATATTTAAGTTGTGCCAGATGGCAAGTGACGGGTACAATATAAATGCTTGTATTGATTTGACCCACTGTATACATCTTTTAGAACTGATTTTGAGTTTTCTGATTTTGATTGTAATACCAAAACTTGCAATTGAAATCTGTATCAACCTATATTAAAAGGCCTAATTGTTGATGGACTGTGACTTGTATATCCGAGCAGCTTGATTGTCAATATTAAAATCTTCTTTCCAAAGGCTACTCTACTATAATGCATTCATGCAACTTTAGGTAGAAAGGCTATAAAATGAGGTGATAAAGAAATAAAATGTTTAAAATTGCTCTGAACTGTGTCAGGAACCTGCTAATTAAGAACCATGCTGTTCATAGTGAGAAGCACATTTTTGCAAATGTTCAAACTTAGAGCTCTTGTGGCACAGGATGTTGTTAGAAATGTTATCCGAAGTACACATTGCTGATAGTACTTCCAACACCAAATAGTTAAATATTATACTTACTGCATCTCTGAGAACATATGCTTCATTTTACTGCAATGTGCTTGACATGTTATAGCAGTATAGTACTGTATCAGCTTGTACTTTAAAATGTGAAGGATGAAGAATGATGTTCTAGGCTTTAGTTTGTGTTCATTGTTTGTAAATGGAGTATTTGAGGCTATTTACACTTTTACACTACGATTTTCCTACCATTCAGCTCCACCAGTGTTAGCAACTATGAGTGGTAGAGTAGACAGGGTACCTTAACCAGTCTTGTCTAACTTGTGCAGTGCAAGTCTGGATATGTTATAATGTGGCTGTCTGAGCCCAAACTATACTTGTGCTCCCACAATTGGTGGAGAATAGGGGTTTAGGTGGGGAAGGGAGGTGCTAGTATGGACAAGATCATACTGTGAGGCAGTTTTCACTGTAACACTGCTCATGTGAATATTTTATGTGGATACATTGTTTTGATACTCTAAAATGAACTAATCATCTTAATGACTATTTAACACTTAGAACAATAGTAGAAAATAAAATATTAGAATCTTGTGAATTATTATTAAATAAGAAAATAGGAAAAAGACAATTTATTCCATCTTTGTTCCCAGTTAAAGGTTGTAAAAGAGAAGATGATTCTAAGTTATATTTAAACAGGGAGTAGATGGAAGTTAGTGGAAGCTCTGTGTTGGTGTTTTTAGCCATGCACTTGTGTAAATTTTCTCTATGGTATGCTATAATGTATTCCAAGAGAAAATAAGTGAAAATATTATTTCTGTGTTAGGAAACTTGAATGTAACTTTTGAAATGTGATTTCAAATATAGTGGTTGAGTTAGAACAGGGGTGGGCAAACTTTTTGGCCTGAGGGCCACGGTTCCCCATTCCTGGCCAATGGGAGCTGCGGGGGATGGTGCCTGCAGGCGAGGGCAGCGCACGGAGCCTTCTCGTCCGCCCGCGAGGGCCGCAGGGATGTGTTGCCGGCTGCTTCTAGGAGTGGCATGGGGCCAGGGCAGGCAGGGAGCCTGCCTGAGCCCCGCTGCGCCACGGGCTGGATTGAAAGCCGTATGATGAGCCGAATCAAGCCGTAGTTTGCCCTCCCCTGCGTTAGAATATTGAATGAATTTTTTTGGAAATACTGTGTAATCAAATTGAGGTAATATAGAGGAGAATACACATCAAGCAAATCTTAACTACGTGCTTTAGGACTGGCATTAAACAAATGTCTCAGATTACATTCTGTATTGAAATGCGATTATTCAAAGAACATTTTTTGTTGGGGTGCATATTTTCATTTTCAGAATAAGTAAAGTTTGTTGTTCCATTTCTATTTTAGATTTTCTGCTTGGCTTTGGATCTATGCTAATTTTAAAGCACAGATAGGTAAATAGAGTTCTGTTTGCTCTGGGTAATGAGGTTCTGTCTGAAGAATTTGAATAAGATTTATTTAATGAGTTGGGAGTAGGACTTTGAACTGTCTTGCAATTTGGGTTAGTAGAAGAAATCTAATACTGAAACTAAGTAGCATGGTAGAGGTAGAGACTGTCTCTTTTTACTGTGGAATGTCAATGGCCAGAGCTCATTGCTAACTGAAAATAATGTTTTTCCAATCTCTTAAGTATTTTATTAGTCTACTTCATTTATCAGTTTGTTGTGTACTTCAATTATTTAGAACAGCTATCGTGGCACTCCACGAGTGTGTTGAATCACATTGTTAAAATGACTTGTCTTTTTCATGCATGTATTCTTTTTTCCTGAATAGACTTTACGTACTTCTGTACATAAAAGTTGTAAAATTAGACATGTATGCAGTCAGCTCTGCTTCCTAGTTAAAGAAAACTGAACTGTTAAGTAATTATGAAGTGAGACATGGCTTGCATGTAAACTACAGTTTGCCTTATTCTTTTTAGTAATTGTACACTTCTCTCTGAAAAACAACACTTTCACATGTAACAATTGTTTGTAGAATTAATACTTCCAATTATAACTTGGATTTCATTTAAATTATCTCACTTGTTAGGTAAATACTTTCACATGGTATGTTCAAACAAGTTAAGATTAAGCTAGTATGGAGAAATTTAATTTGCATAAATGAGCTCAAATTGTGGCAGTGAGTGCCATAAAATACCAGTAAATTTAGGGATGGGGAAGCAAAATTATTGATTGAGCTAGTTGTATATCTTTGTTGTTAAGAGCTGATTGTCAGCGCTGGAAAGTGAAATGTTCTAGAATAGGTAGTGGCAGTGCAAGCTTAGATATTACAATGCTCATACAGATAACTGCCAATATGCCTCGACCTTCCAAAACAAAATAAGGTTTACTTTTAGGGATGCAAGGGATGTTCAGTCTGTCTCAATTCATTCTTGATTGTGTGCTGCTGAGACATCTATCTATACCAATTTGGGTGGTGTAAGGTGTCAGTCTTCCCTTGCTGAGAAATGCAGGTGCCTGTACATTAGAATTTGATGTGAGTCTGTTAACTTATTTTACATGACCTCCAATTCCTCCAAATACCATCAAATGTGACTTCCAGAGAGAATAAAACTTGGGTTTCCTTTAAAATCTGAGAGGTTTGCAAAAATTCCAGAATTTTATCAGAAAGTTTTTTTTTTTTTATTCTCACTCTTGGATTTGAGTGTTAGATGTCTTAAGACTTGAGATTCGGCATATTGCAGAAACATTAAAGTTTTGGTGTTAAGCTATAGAAGTGCATATTATGTGTAATGTTTCACGGATGGTAAACTGCATGGGTCTGTGCTAAGAGTTGCGTTGCTGCAGTAATCCCAGTAGCTGAAATCATAGGGTAGGTAAGCACTACCTGTGCCAACAGGAGGGATTCTCCCATTGCCATAGGTAATCTACATCCATGAGAGGTAGCAGCTAGGTTGACAGAAGAATTCTTATATCAGACCTAGCACTGTCTACTGGGACTTAAGGCAGCTTAACGGTGCTGCTCAAGGGTGTGGATTTTTCACACTCCTGAGTGTACTTATGCAGAGCTAATTTTCTAGTGTAGACCAGGCCTGAGTTTTCATAGACTTCTAAGTAACACCATTAAGATGAGTGAGAATTTTAGTGATGGTAGAATAGTATGGCTTGTAGACTCACAAGACAACAGTGCATTGGTTTCTGTTGCCACTGCTATAATTGCAAATGAAAACTCTGTGATGCAGCTGGATCTTTGATAGTTGCAACTGGTTAGAACTTGCCTGAACTACACCTCTACCCCGATATAATGTGACTCGATATAACACGAATTCGGATATAACACGGTAAAGCAGTGCTCCGGGGGGGCTGGGGGCTGCGCACTCCGGTGGATCAAAGCAAGTTTGATATAACACGGTTTCACCTATAACGTGGTAAGATTTTTTTGGCTTCTGAGGACAGCGTTACCTCTGGGTAGAGGTG